AAATAGGCATTAGATTGTAGACATATCCAATGTCAATTATATGCACTAAATTTTGATCTGTCCTATACCCAAATTGGCAAAAAATACCTACAAATAATTCTTCTTTTAATTTTTATACATATATTTTATATATAATTTTATTATATAATTTTTATACTTTAGCTTTGATTATCCAAACCAGTATCATAGCAAAGCATGTTATAGACACGTGCATTTCACGCTTTGGCGATGCTTGCAGAAGTTGCACTACATTGCACTACCAGCAGAGGGAGGTATTTTATTTTTCAACCAATCATTGGAAGGCGTTTAAACAGATATTGCTAACACATTTAAATGAAAATACACATCAGCCACCTAGGTTAATCCTTTCTGGCATAATAGTACCCTGGAATTTACTTCATAGCTTCTTTGGTCACTAGCAATTTCTTAGGCTTATTGGAAATATATCTTCTCCCCAATGCTGGTACTGCAACTTCTGCATGAGTTTTCATTTCACGCTTTGGAGAGACAGAGTGAAATGGACATAATGGACTGACGTGTCTTTCGTGATTAAATCATGATTAAAGGTTGTTACAAGGACTCAAAGTAATCAATATTAACTTAATATTAACTTGAAGTATGTAAGCACGTCCAGGTGCATCACTTCCTATATTGTTATTTATTATTATTATTGCTACTACAGAAAATGTAATCTTTGGTGTGTGAAAAATTTTTTTTGAGGTGCTTTGTTTTCTAAATGTCATCTTAAATGTTATCTTTCTCCAAAGCATGGGGTTAGGATTTTTGTATAGGTCTAACTTTAACCTTATTCTGTTTGGGATCTATTTTGGATCAGGTATAATCACTGGAGTTCTTCAGAAAACATAGTTTTCCTTTGAGTGTTGCTCAGATGGGACATCCAACCCAATCAGAGCAGGTGTAAGATGACATTCAGCATATAAAGCCCACACTAACATTTGATAACTGGTACTAAGCAGTTATACCAATACTGTGTCATTGTTATTCTGACCCAAATTTTTTAGCCCAGTGTATTTGTGTATATATATATATATATCTGTTTAGTTCCAGCCTCAGCACAACACATTTTACTGCTCTCCCTGGTAAGTCCACACGTTGAAAGAAGAGACCACTTTGGCATTTCACATAAACACTAGGATTAGGCTTTATTGATTAGACATTTGCTTTGGTGTCATTGACACATCTGTACATGCATGTATTTCCACCAGTACTTTTCGTATACAGCATCTTTTCTCAAAGTTTTCAACAATGCCACCCTTTAGAAGAAGAACACATTTTGACAAATCTGGAAAGAACAATAAAGTAAGTCTCCAAAGGACAATGCAATTACAGCAGCGCACATCAAAAAGTACAAATTTGACAAGATGTAGTATCTATAATTACTTACCTGCCTTGTTTTACTCAGATTAAGCAAATTACTTGAGTGTCTTTTGGGCAAACTGAATGATTGAGATAAATCCAAGCAGTAACTGGTGCATCATGTGTATTATCCATGAATGGCTTTGTATCTTAGTCCAATAAAGAAGCAAATCTAACCTCAGTTTTAGATTTAGAAGCTGTTTTCTGATTAATTAACTCCAGTCTTTCAGAGGTTTTTTTTTCTTGTCACTCTGAATGTGGATTGGGGTGATCAATGCACAGCTACAGCTGGTTGAAGGGGACCAAATCCATTGAACAGTTGATTTGGTTCCATTTTACCAGCTTTAGCAAAGCATTTTAGGGTACAATCTGGTCCAGAAGAGGTGACATGAAGAAGTGAAGATGCCTGAAAGAGACAAAGCCAGAGAAAGGAAATGATAAGAAATGACGCTGTTCACACCCACATGTCGTCAATAAGCACTAATAAAAAATTTGTACAAGCTGCAACAAACCAAACAGCACAATGCATCAGCAAACAGGCATTGATTGCTAGAAAAAAATGTTGCCCTTAAAAGAGTGCATATTACTGCTTAGAAGAAGCCAGATGATACAAAAAAGGTATGGATTGCAAAAGACCAAGGGAAAAAGATGAAGAACAGAAGAGAGTGAGTGAGCCAGAAGGTAAGACAGAGAAAGGGGAATAGAAGGTAGGTCGGGTGATGAAAAAGAGATGAGAAAAACAGAAAGTGGGGCCCTGAGAGATAAGAGAGGAGCACATATAAACAATGGTTGCAGACAAACTTGAAAAAACAATGAATTCATCACCTAACTGCCAATACTGCTAATGAAGCCAGTGGATAGGACAGCAGGAAAATTAACTCACATTGACCTCTAGCCTTACACGTGGAACATCTCCTCCTCTTTCCATTTCACCCAGTCTCTCCTCACCAGCCGTTACTGTTCTCACGTCTATGCACTAAGTTCTGGCCCATAGTTGGGCCTGTTCAGTGTGGTGGCACAAAGATGATGTACTCAGCAGTCTTGCTGCATGGCTCTGCTCGTCTTTGGAACAACTCACTCATTTCCTGGTTCAATTAGCCTAGCTAATCATTTAATCATTAGAAAATAAACTTTTTAAGCAGACTCATGGCCCTAGAAACGTATTGATATATGTTGTGTTTGGACTGTACTTTTTCATAATTGACTGATCTTATATGATAATCAATGGCTTAACTGAAATGACAAACCTGCTAAAGACTGTTTTTATATTAACAAAGGATCTGATACATAAGTGGACATGGGAAAGGATGGCTCGTACTGAAAATTATTAAAGTAAAGTTTTGTTTTGAACTCTAATGTGAAAAGATGCGTACCATATGTGCATTGGTAGCATCAGATACAAACGGCAAATTGATGAGGAGGACGCATCCTGAGGAGGAAAAAAGAGGGGGAAGAGAGAAGGGAGAATGACAGGAGGAAGAAAGCTGGAAGTAGCACACAGAGGAGAGGACAAGCCTGCATGGCCTGAATTCTCTACCTGTCCTCGAGCTGCAGTTGCTCTACCTCTGCAACATGCAGCACTGCAGTGTGCACGTGTGTGCGTACTCTGTGCTTCCAACAGAGTATCCTGTGTTGATTCTCATGTCTATATTTGATCCTGGTGTGAACTGTGCCTGTGTAGTATGTTCACTCAGGATGGATGGTGAGGCCGAGTACTACCCGGCAAGCTTCTCTGTGTGGTCAAGCACAACTATCAACTTCAGAGGAGAAAGCGCTGCACACTGAATCCTTTTCATAGCAGGATTTTCAGTAGATTGAGGAGAGAATTCCTGCCTGTGCTTTATTCTTGCAATCTGTGGCCCACACACTCATCAAACAGGCAACCCTCCTTCACCCCACACACCTCCACTCAGATCTGACATCAAACAGAATCATTATAAACAGAGCGTTTTATCATTAACCTCGCTCAGATGCCTGCTGAAGGCTTCACCGGTGAGTGCTCTTTCAACATTAAACTGTAAGACAGCTCTGTCAAGATCACAACTACAATAAGTAAAGGTGTTAAGCATTCATAAGTTTAGCAGTTCAGGAGCTTAGCGAAGTGGACTTTATATATGTGGGTCGGAGTGCTTAGTGTGTGTGTGTGTGTGAGCATTCTTGCTTGCTGCTACTGTAGGTGCCCTCTATGAGGCTGACTGCATGGTTGGAGATAGGCTGGCTATTTTTCTATTCTGGGACCGTGCTGTCCGCTGCATTCCTGCCCTTATATTGGAGACAGAGGGGAGGAGGAGTTGAGGGTTAGGGACAGCTGGACGCCTGCAGAGGAGCAAGGGAGAGACGGAGCGGTAAAGACAGTTAGGGAGTCATAGTGGGAAGGTCAGTGGGGGTGCACGGCGTCCCTGGGGAGGCTCACACAGTATAGGTAGTGTTACGTAGCAGCTGCCTGCCCACAGCTAAGTAAGGCCCCAGCAGGAGGAGTGACACTTTGAAACCAGTCCCGCTGTGGACTCTGTCACTCTTGCTCACCATGATATTTTCATTTCAGATGTATGGCCTGACACTGGGGGCTGCACTAATACAACCTGCCATACGCAGCCACTCCCCTCACTCTATCGGTCTCTTCTCTCGCTGACCATGTCATGCGTTCTGCCTATCAGTGTCCTACTGCTTTTTCGGTGTCTAGCTGACTGACTGCCAGACCTTGGTTCTCCATCAAGCGCCAATACTGTGGGAGGGCGAGGCCAGGAAACCTGTCAGACCATCACTTCCTGTCACATCAGTGTGAAACCCCTGATGGTTCTGAGGGCCACTGTTGCAAAATAGCCATTAAAATCCACTTAAAACCACAATAATCTTCTGTAATGCGGCATTTAAATGAAGCAGATTTATACAAAGCATCCTAATGAAGGTCTGTGTGCATGTCTGATGAAGATGTTTGCCAGCTGGTAATTAGCTTAATGCAAGGCGCACCATAGTAATGAAACAAGTTGACCTGTGGTCAGGCTGTAAACTTTATCTTCTGTGGCTGGCTGTATTAATTCCCTCTAATTACCTAGTGACTAGAGGCAGAGGGAAAAGTGGGACGTATATCATCAAACTAAGCTTAGACATTTCAATTAAACCTAATTTCTATGGGAGATGTGATGTAAAATAAAAGTCCATCGGCAGACACCAGCCTTTAAAGACTTGGGGGCTGGTGGGTCAGCACCTCTTCAAAATCAAAGGACCTGTGCCACGAGGTTAACAGTGCTAATGCTGCTGCAGTCCACTGCAGACACTGCCTGGCTGCCTGGCTGGCTCTTCTTCTACCACCGACCCCTCCTCCGCAGCATTCGGACGTGAGCAGCACCCAGCGGCTGACTCAGCACTTTTCCCACGCCTGATTGGTTGATCAGAGGGGGAGGCAGGAGTGTAACAGGGCCCGTTACCCTCTGCTCAGCTGGTTCCTCGCTCTCTCCCTGAAGATAAAACACGTCTATTGGATTAAAAAAATAAAAGTTTCCTGACCTTGTGGCGACTGCTTGCCTCAGGTGCCGCACCGCGACTCTTTCTTTATCAACCGTCTCAGGGTTGCTACGGCCTTTGATGATTCTATCTCAATACTGTAGTTCAAATTGTGGAGCAACGTTGACATAAACAGTGAGGGCAATTGGTAGACCTTTGTGTCTTCCAAACTCACCTCTCTTTGCAGTGGATAAAATACCATGATCGGGTTTGCTTGTGGCCATTAAATGTATCTTAGCATGGGATCTTTAATGTCTCTTTCATTAAGCGTGTATGCAGCACTCATACTTTGTAATTATTGCAGCGTTTATCTTCTGCTGCTTTTGATTTTACCTCACAATGATTTAATCCTCAAAGTCGCTTTATTCCTTAACCTTTTAATCTAACGGCAACACCCTTAAGACGATCAATACCTATTTAGATGATATATTTAATTATATCCTCACGCTTTGGCCCTCCCATGCCTTTCTTTGTTGACCACCACAACATTTGAACAGGATTTGACTGTTTTCAGCACTTTAATTTGCTTTTTTACAAATAGGACTAAAGCCTGTTTCCTTAATAAACCCTCTCTTCGAGGACTTTGTCAGTTTTCAGACTTGGCAGGAGTGAAATACTTTTCATTTAAGGAGCTCTACACAAACTTTTGCTATCATGCAGTTTGGATGCAGACTGCATGGGCTAGCCATGAGCTAGCCAAGGTTAAAACAGTGATGAGACAAGCATTAGACTGTCCTGCACTTTTATATTGCTATGTGTCGAATATATATAGTACATACATACATAGTACATATATAGTACATATATCGAAGATATATTATCTATATATTATGAATATTAGCATAATGACAACAAACACACTTAGACATGACACTAGCTATTCTGCCCTCACAACAACAAATGTTAGTTATGCATGTGTTTGGCTTTGTGCCATTGCATGTTTAAGACAAAATTCATACAGTTTGACCCTGCATATAAGTTAGCATTGTGGCTAATATTTTCTGGTGAAGTAGCATTTCTTCTCATGTATGACTTTGCTAGTGACAATGTTAGCAGGTGAGATATGGTTTGTCAGTTGGCTGTAAATAATCGGGCCATGGTTTAAAAAATGGTAATATTAACTCCTCACACAGCAAATTCAAAAGTGTTAAATGTTTTGGTGTTAGTAGTCTTCTTGCAAAAGTAGAGTTAATTTTACTCTAAGTAGAGTCACATTCTTTTAATGTAACTCTGAGGTGTAAAATGATAGTAGTTAAAATCGAGTGTTAAAAATGAGTGTTTCTATTTCAAATCTGGAGG